CATTTCTTGGAGAAGATTATCTGCGATAGACAACTTTTCAAGGCATACTGGACATGACTTCCTATCATGTACTGTACATGCCAGTTAAAACAGCCTTCTTGCTATGTCATGCATATAACATTCCATTTCCCTTCTCTCTGCCTTTGCATCAGCTGTCCCCTCTGCTCAAAATGTGCTCCCTCTTCACCTCTGACCTTTAGGATTCCTCATTTCCTTCAATGTTTAGCTGAAATGCCACCTATTGCATGAGGCCTTTGACCCCCTTCTCCCCCAGATACCAGTGCCTCTGCCCATCAAATCACATTGTAAATTAATTTTGTATGTGCTTACATATGTTCTTATTGCCTCATCCCATGGAATATAAACTCTTGGAGGACAGAGTCTGTTCCATTTCTGGCCTCCTGGCTGTTCCACAAAAAAGACACGCCATTTCTTGGCTCTTGGCATTTTCTCTGGCTGTCCCCTGTGCCTGGTACTCTCCCTTCTCCTCTCTGACTACTGACTTCCCTGGCTTCCTTTAAGTCCCAGCTAAAATCCCATAATTGACTGGAAGCCCTCCCCAACCCCTCTTAATTCCAGTGCCTTCCCTCTATTAATTATATCCTGTATATTCTCTATTAGCTTGCCCTGTATGTATTTGTTTGCATGCTGTTTCCTCCATTAGATTGTGAATTGCTTCAGATCAGGGACTGTCTTTTTGTATCCCCAGCACTTAGCATAGTACCTGGCATATAGTAGGTGCTTAATAAATGTTAATCGATTGATTTTGCCTTTGTTTCCTTAATGCCTGTCATGATATCTGGTATATAGTAAGTACTTAATAAATGCTTGTGATTGATTGATTGATTCCTGTTCCAAGCCCTGATCTAAAATTAGACTGAACTGAACTAGAAGCTAGCATCTAGTTGATTCTCAACAACCTTTTCCTCTTATTTCCTTAGAATAATTGGAAACTAAGATGATTATAGATGGATTCAGTCTTCACTGCTGGAAGGAGTACCTCCAATTAACACAGAGTTGGGCACACAGTAGATAGTAAATGTTTATCGAATTGGATTGAATTGCTGGTGCTTTCTCCTACTGCAAATGATGTTGCATAACTTTATATTTGCTTACTTGTTCACATGTTCTATTCTCATTTCACCCCCTTCTATCCAAGTAAAATGCTCTCCTTAAGAGCAAGGACAATATCTTTTATTTATTTATTTTTTCATTGGGTATTGTGCTTTGTACACAGCAGGGTCTTAATATCTTGTGATTGCCGAAGGAAATTGACAAGATCACAGATTCTCACCTTGGAGATTAAGATAAGTATGACATCTCCTCTCCTTTAGGAAAGTATTAATCATGACTATTGTCAATTTTCCACACTAAGCAAAATATAATGGGCCTATACAAGTGTGACAAAACATTTCTTGACCATTCTTGTCCATTTCTTGAATTTTCATATGTGATTGAAAAGAATTTTTCAGACATCAGCTTAGCTTCATGTGCCTATTGAGCTAAAAACTTCACCAAACCTAAGGTCTTTCAGGGTTGAGCAACAATCCAGGAACATCCCGGGAATGAGCTAGAGGATGGTTTTCAGTCATTTGGGGGTCACCTTATTCTAAAGGACACAGGTGAAATATAGCCCATCAAGGGTGTAGCAAGAAGAATTAAGACACCCTGCAGGCCTCTCTTGAAAGAAAAGATTAAGATTCCAGCAAGTCAGACTAAAAGAATCATTCATCATGGAAATGAAAACCAGTGAACATATCAGAGCATCACTCAGCTGTTCTTGCCAGTCCAAGGTTATTTCCCATAACAGACAGCTTTTGGCTCTCTGGTCAAGTCTTTCTTGGTGTTTTTGTACATGACATTCATGAAGCTTGAAAAAGAAAAATCAGCACTGCCTGTGAAATCCTTTGCATGTGACACACCATGAGCAAGGGTGTGGGAAGAAGGGATCAAGGAGAGATAGGCTTTGAGAAGCAAAACTAGCAAATTCTAGATCTGGACCAAGTTGAATTATTGCCAGGGAATCCAAACTAAGAAACAGGAGCTACTAAGTCAGATTCTCAGTGGTAACTCCTTGCCAACTTAGCAAAAAGAGCAGTGTTTATGAAGCCAGATTTAGAGAGCAGATTTTATGAAAAACCTAGGATTCTTCTGCCACCCAAGATTGTGTTCTAATTTTATTCTTGGGTTGTCCTCAGCACTCCTAAACCACATGTTCCTTCTATTTGGGTGGTTATGTGCCAGCATAATACTGGGCCCAGGAAGGAGGGAAAGTATTTCTTCTTTCTTTGTTGAAAGCAACAAAAGGGAATTGAATTTTGCCCATGTGATCAGGATTGCTCCATCAACAGAGTTTCTTAATCTTCTCAATTCAGGCCACCCATAGATTATTAGAGCTAGCATCTTAGAGGTTAGCAAGATTATGTGTGGTATGGGAAGAGTTGCCATTACAGCACTGAACATGGAGTCAGGAAGATGGGTTTGAATTCTGCTTTAGTTATTTGTTTGCTTTGTAAACTGGGCAAGTCAGTTAATTTCTCTGAGCCTCAGTTTACTCATCTGTAAATTAGAGAATAAGAATAATAGCACTTCCCTCATCTGGTTGTTTCCCTGCTGAAATGAAATGATGTATGTAGTATATTTTGAAAACCTTAAAGTGCTGTGTAAACGCCAATGCCTTCATTTTATAGACGAGGTTACTGTGGCCCTGAAAGCTGAAGCAACTTGCTCAGTGATTTTTCTTGCCTTTTTTTATCCTTAGCTCTTAGCACAGTGCCTTGCCTATCCTAGGTGCTGAATATCACATGCTTAGATAATGGCAGAGCTAGGATCGAATCCAGATTTACTGACTTAATAGTCTAAGTACTATCTAAGTATAGGAAGGAAGAAGATATCAGTCCTATAGCTCAGCACTGTCTCCACTTCTTTCTCTGCAGAGATTACAAAATTAAAGTTACAGTCACCTCACTCTGTCTCTGCTCTAACATCCCAATCCTCCTTAATCCCCCTTACTCCCCTGCTTTTGGTGCGAATGTTAAGCCAAGGGATGGACCTAAGGACCTGGCATGAAAACGCGGTTTAGGACTTTACTGAGAGGAGTATCTAAGAGTGTCTGCCAAGGGCAGATGTCCATCCTAGCAAAGCCTCATTTCTTGACCGGAGGAGTGCCACAAGGCCAGGGAGTGTCATTCTAGTACATATTAACCCTTTGGGCACCACCAGCCTATGATCTCAGAATTTATTTCAACAACAGGATGATTCCCAGGACCGAGAGTTGGGTCCCAACTAGACATTGAGCACTCAGGTAAGAAGTTAGCTCCAGGCTCTGAAGGAAAAAGGAATTAGATTTGTTCTGTTTTACCACAGAGGGTTATGGGGCAAAAAGAGAGCAAAGGATAGAAGTTTCAGAGAGGTAGTTTTTTGTTTGATATAAGGGAAAACCTCCCCAACTATTAGAACTATACAAAAGTGGAATGGGAAGCCTTGAAAGGAGAGGAAAAGTAGAAGGTCTCTTGGGAAAGGAACTTCGCTGGAGGTCTGTAAATGGAAGTTACAGGTCCTGGGTGTTGTAGATTGGATTCCTGTTGGTTTGATTTGGTGTCCACTAAGCCCCCTTCCATCTCTGACATGGTATGATTCTGCTCCTTGTAATTTGGAAGTACTTTAGGAAGGGAAGTTATTTCCTGACACTAGCTTGTTGTCAGGGAAGGCTTCAGGAGGTTGTAGATGACTGGGTGATACATAGATTCTCCCTTGTCTATGTCTGGAGCTGTATACTACACATGTGACCTCATGAACTGGGTCCTGGTGTTACTGGGAATTAGATTTAACAAATCTTTTTAGTGCTTTCTATTACATCCAACCAAAACCCATGCAGCCAGACCTGTTCTATGAACACAGATGCTCTATTGAATCCACTCCCTTATCTCTTCTGAAATCCCTTTTTAATCACTGCATAATATATTTTTATTTTCCTCAGTTTTCCATCTATTCTGGGTTTCAGGCTCCTCCTCTCCTATCAGTGTTAATCCCAGAGGCTCACTCTAGATTTGCTTCTTGTTCATTCTGGTGCCCTAAGACTATGAGCCTGGTTTCATTTCTAGGTATTTTGCTCTAGACCAAATTGTTAGATATCTGCAGGCTCTGTCTCCCCCCCCCCCATAGGCTTATACAACCATAGAATGCTAGATCCAGGAAGGGCGTTAGAGGTCTTCTATTCTAACACCATCATTTATAGATGAAGAAACAGAATAATGGGTACAGCTGGCACTGGCTGGGTTTGGAAATTTCCCACCCAACAGCAGTCTCTAGAGATAGTATCTTCAGCCAAGAGTGATCAGAGCATTTAAGGTTGGCTATCCCAGGATGGTAACGGTAGCAACAGAAACTATTCTCAGATTTCAAAGGAAACTGGCAATAGAGGTAGGTGGAAGGAGAGAGAATGTACTTTTTAAAGTTATAAGTGTAGTATGTGGGGTCCAACCCATAGCCCCCTTTATGAATGTCTCTGTTACTATGAATGACTAAATGCATCTGCCATCTTATTTATCATAGCTACCAAAGCTGTAATAAAGCCAAAAGCTCTGAAGTATATAGCCTTCATCATTTCAGGCTCAGTTATATTCAGTCATCCTCAGCCAATCAGACCAGAATATGCAAAGGGAACATTGTGATGCCAGGCTCAGTTAAGAACATGACACTATCATGGCAAAGACAGTTTTGAGGTCACTGGCAGAGGGAAATCTTGGCCTTCAGGACCCATTCTGTTATATCTATGCTGTTTTTTGGCCCGATCCTTTCATATAGAATAATACCAAGCAACCTATGGATACTCAACTAATTTTCCTAAAGAATATTCATTGATGGCAATTGGAATGGGATCATAGACTCTCTTTGTTACAGGCACAAAGCATACATATATCCCTTCACCATTTTTTAAGTAGGGAAGGCATTAAAAGACCATTGTTCTACCAATCATTCAAATAGACAGTTGGCTTCTTTATTTGATACTGGTGGCTTCAATTTCATTCCATTACATTCAGTTCAAATGAATTTTAAAAATTCAGGTATTTGCTGTATACAAAGCATTGCCCTAGACCTGGGGATTAAAAAAAAACCAGCCCAACAAAAATGAGAAAGTCCCTGCCCTCAAGGATCATCCATTCTACTTTGAGTGGTTCAAGGGCACTTAGGAACTTCTTTGCTGGTAAACTTTTGGAGGATTAGAATTTAGAAGGAGAATGTACAGGGATGAGGCTTGGGGGGGTGGTTGGGGAGGAGGTGTCAAATCCCTTTGTACTAAGGTTCATAGGTGGATTTAGAGTGGGAAAGTCTTATAGGTGTCATCAAACACTCCCATTTTTGCATCCTCCTGGCATTCTTGTAGGTATAAAAGCTCCCTCTAATGAGTAAGTCAGTGCTGTTCATTTGCTTTGCCAACTTAATATCCATTCAGCATATCAACACCTGTGTCGGACAAAACTTAGTGGGTCTGGATCCAGTTTGCATTCAACGCTTCTCCCAAAATGAGTAACTGCTTCAAGTGTACAAAACAAAAACTCCTCCGGCTCACATGTATTTCCCTAACTCCATACGACACAAGATGAAGATGAAAATACAGTCACCAATTGTTTCTCCAGAAAATGCCATCTCCAAAATATGGAGCCGTATTCTCCCTTGGCAGCAGGGACACCCTACTTATAAATGGGGCACTTTCAGTCATAGCATTTAATCTTTCATGGCCACCAGCATTCTGGCTTTTGAGCAATTCTGTGCTGGTCTGATCACATCTGGATTATTGCATTCTATCCTAGCCATTTCATTTTAAGAGGGACATCAACACACTATAGTATGTTTAAGGGAGAGTAAGGTAGGAGTCTTGGAAATACCTTATATGAGTGAAGAGAATACTATTTGAAGGGCTATCATGTGGTAAAGAAATGAACAAATGAATGCATAAAAAAGCATGTATTAAGTCCTTATTATGTGCTAGGTTCTAGGCTAAAAAATGTAAGCACAAACTTAAAAAGTGATATAGTGTCTGCCCTCAAGGAGCTTACATTCTAGTAGGGAGAGACAACGGTATGTTGAGGAAGGCTGCCAGGAGATGGAGTTTTGGTCTGCTGAGTCATTAAGAGTGAATTGATCCAGAAGACAGTCAATTGACTTGCCCTTTCTAGAAATGATGGTGATGTTCATGCAGACAGCAAGATGGAGAGCTGGATGGTATGTGAAGGATGTTCCTGATCTGGGGCCAGTTAGATACTAGGCTGTGTAAGCTGGTACTCATTCAATTGTCATTCAAGATGGCTGGGCTCCAAAGTCAGAGTTCCAAAGTCATTTCAATTGATTTTTCTAGGGCCCGGGGGCATGGATTTTGGGGGCCCTTCTCACGGACTCTGGAGATTCCACATATAGATTCTGGAAGTTCAGTGCAGAAGGTGCTAGTACAGATGAGGAGAAGCAGTACAAGCCCTGGGGCAGATGGCTCTGGACTGCATGGCTGGATGGGATCTTGGCAAGAGGGAGAAAGGGAAGGAGACTTCTCGTCTGTGGTTTCAGAAATAAAAAAGAAAAAGGTAAGTCACAAGGAGGCAGAATTTGGTTCAATACAAGAAAGTTTTTTTTTAAACTATCAGAGCTTCCCAATGTTGGGACAGGCTACTATACTAAGCAGCAAACCCAACAAGTCCTGGAGGAATAAGCAAAAGTTGAATGAAAATCTGTCAGGGATGCAGTAGCAGGGTCTTCTGTGCTGCATGGGAGCTGAGCTTAAGGCTCTGGAAGGTTTTTTCTAAGTCTAAATTCTACAGTTCAACCTCAATGCACATTTTAAAAGCTCCTAGATCAGCCAAAGCATTGTACTGGGCATTAATGTTGTAGAAACAGAAACTAAAGTTTCTACCCTTAAGAAAAGAAGGGAACAGACATTTATTAAACACCTACTTTGTGCCAGCAAATATTCAGACAGTGATGATGGTGATGATAATGATGATGATGGTGATGATAACTAGCACTTATGTAGCATGTACTTTGTGCAAGGCACTGTGCCAAGCACTTTAAAAATATTATCTCATTTAGTACTCACAACAACCCTGTGAGGTAGATACTATTATGATTTCTACTTTGCAGTTATGAATGCTGATGCAAACAAAGGCTGTAGTGACTTGCCCAGGGTTGCACAGACAGCAAATATTCAGACACTAATAATAATAATAATGATAATGATAACTAGCATTTATATATAGCACTTACTACATGCTAGGCATTGTGATAAGAAGTTTATAAATATTGCCTCATTTGGTTCTTACCAATAACCCCGTAAAAAAGTATGTGACATTATTAACCCCATTTTACAAGTGAGGAAAGTAAGTCTGAAAGAGGGCTTGATCAGGGTCACTCAACTGGGATGTGTCTCAGGCAAGATTCAAATTCAGGTGTTCCTGAATCCAAGGCTAGTGTTCTATCTACGGTGCCATTAGCTGCCTATGCTCCTGAGGGAGCTTACATTCTTCCGAAAGTTACAACAAATTTGAGGAGGGAGAAAGTGCTTAAAATTCAGAGGAAGGGTAGAGGTGGTGGAGATTAGAGAAAGTTTCTTTTTTTTCTTTTTTTTTTTAATTTAAATTTTTTTATTTTTTCCATATGCTTTTGAGTTGAATTTTTTTCTCCCTTTTCCTCCCCCCCACCCTCCCCCAAGAGGGCGCACAATCTGATATAGGCTTTACATTTACATACCCATTAAACATATTTTCACATTAGTGAAGTTGTAAGTAAAAATTAAAACCAATACGAGGAACCATCAGAAAGATGGAACAAAACTCAACAGGAGGTAAAAATAAGTGATAGCGATTCGACTTCCATAGTTCTTTCTTTGGATGTGGACAGCGTTATCTATCCCGAGGCCTCGGAAATGTCTTAGATCCTCATAATGCTGAGGAGATTAGAGGAAGTTTCAAAGTGGATTTGGCCCCTATGAAGAACCTTGAAGGGCGATTAGGATGGTGTGATTTTCATGCACAGGAGACAGTTCACACGAATCTTTATTCATGAGATGCATGCATGCATGCATGAGATGGCATGTTCTGTTCAGGGAATAGCTAGTTGTCAAGTGAGACTGAAATCTAGAGGGCATGAAGAGGAAAATTGTGAAATATGGTTAGAAAACTAGTCAAGTGACGGATTATGACAGACTTTCAATATTTGGCCTTTCTCCCAGAGGCAATAGAAGACCTTGAAGAATTTAGCTGCTCCAGAAAAGGGACTGTTTCATTTTTTTCCCTTTTTGGTCTCTGTATCCCTCTCACAGTGCCTAGAACATTAAGTAAGTGCTTTGTAAATACTGATTGATTGATTGATTGATTGATTGATTGTCAGCAGGGGCATGAAAAGTTCATGGTATACAGAGACTAGAGAATTTGAAAACAGGGAGACCAATTAGGAGGCAGTTATGCCAGGCGAAGAGTGCTAACAAAGGCCTAATTAAGGTGCTATCTGCTAATGGAGAGAATGGAATCTCTCTAAATAGTTGATCCAGGATACTTGCCTTAAGCTGGGTCGCCATTGCTTGGTTATGGTACAAATCTTCAACTCTGTGTCAGGCCAGCTTCAGAGGCCCATCATGGCAAATTACTACTGGATCTATAAGAACTATGATGTGATGCATTGTATGTAGATTTGTGGGCTTAAATATTAATAAAAATTGATATATTTTATTACGTGTCACCCACATTTCCCATTGTATCCACCCTCTTCCTAGTGAACTGTCCTTTATAATAGCAAACAAGAGATTAAGAAAAATAAAAGTTCAGCAAAAGTAACCAACATACTGAAAAAGTTTGATGTTATATTCCCATAGTCCCCTACTTCTTGTTACTTGCTGCTAGCTCTTTTTCTGGGCCAAGCTTGGTTACTATAATTTCACAGCTTTCAGTTTTGATTGCTCCGCTATGATGACTCTGTTGTAGTTGTGTATATTGTTTTCACGGTTCTGCTTGTTTCTTTGTGCATCAATTCATGTAAGTCTTCCCATGCTTCCCTGAATTCATCCTATTCATCATTTCTTATCCCACAGTAATATTCCATGACATTCTTGGACCACAGTTCCTTTAGCTATTTCTCAATTGAGGGACATCTAGTTTGTTTCTTTGCTACTGTAAAAAAGGGGGAGGGTTGCTATTTTGGTGGAAATAGAACCCTTTCTTTTTGTCATTGACCTCTTTGGGACACATGCTTAGCTGTCCAAATTCTGGGTCAAAGCATATGGATATTTAATTACTTTTTTTCAAAGCAAAGCATCCTGAGGGAGAGAAAAAAAGGTGGAATGCCAGGAAAATCAAACCACTGCTACTATCTCAACCCCTACCCCCACCCCCAGATTCCAGTGGAGATACCCTGAGCCCAATAATCCCCACTCTCCCTGCTTCCAGCCCAACCACGTCACCATCATCCACAGAATTAACACTCACAGAGATCTGACCTAGAAACTTCAGTAGCCACGGCTACTGAAGCCTGGGAAAAGAAAGCTCTCATCACCAAGCTCCTCAGCACCGTCAAACGGTTCAACATCAGAAATGGTTATTGTAGCGTGGGTGTGGAAATAACAATAAAGAAGATGCACCATTTTCTTCTTTGCTGCTGCACCCTAAGGACTTTGGGACCGTTTCCATTTTACTTCCAGGTGAAACTTCCTATATGTGCTGTCTTCTCTTATTAGAATGTAAGTTTCTTGAAGGCAGGGACAGTCTTGTTTTCTTTTTACTTTTTCCCATTTGTATCACCCACACTTAATGCTGAGTAAGCCCTTAGTAAATGCATTTTAATTACATCATTTGTAATTCCAGATCGCTTTGCTGAATGGCTGAAACTGCTTTCTTTCCAGCAGGAGTTAAGTAGCACAGTGGATAGAGTCCTGGACCCGGAGTCAGGAATATGGCATTCAAATCTCACCTTACCAAGACTCTTACTAGCTGTGAGATCCTAGGCAAGTCACTCTGTCAATTTCAGAATCTTTGTTTGTAAAGTGAAGATAATAATAGTAGCTACCTTCCAGGGTTGTGAGCATCAAAGGAGATAAATAATTGCAAAGTGCTTAGCACAGTGCCTGGCACGTGGTAAATGTTATATAAATGTGCTAACATGTACTTCACATTATTGTGAAGATAAAATGAGGTAATATTTGTAAAGTGCTTTGGAGACTAAAGTGCTGTATAAATGCTAGATTTTATTATCTATAAAAATAATTAATCTTTACATAGAAAACTAAAGCCTTGCAAGACATTTCACATGTATTTTCAAGACTGCTAGGCTGTACCAGATCTGGAGTCAGGAAGTCCTGAGTTCAAATTTGACCTCAAACACTTATTAGCTCTGTGACCATGGGTAAGTCACTTAACCTTTGCTTGCCTCAATTTTCTCATCTATGGAATGGGAATAATGATAACACCTATCTGCCAGTGTTGCTCTGAGGATCAAATGAGATAATATATGTAAAGCTCTTAGTGCCATGCCTGTTGCATATTAGGCATTATATAATAATGATAATTATTATTATTACTCTCCTTTGAGCTTTACAGCATCCCCAGGAAGTAGGTCCTAAAGGCATTTGTCATCTGCCTTTTGCAAATGAAAAACCTGAGGCTCATAGTAGGGGTTATGTGACTTGCCCACAATCATTCAGCTGGTAAGTTTTGGAAGCAGAATTCAAAACCGTATCTCCTCTTGGCTATTCAATACACTATGACAGCTCTAAATCCAACAAGGGTTTTTTTAAACACCTACTACTGGCAAGGCACTGTGCCAGATCTCATGCAGAAGGAAAGATCATTTCTTCCCTCCAGGAGCTTAGAATAGCCTTTCCCTTTTTAAAAGGGCACAAAACTGACTGTAAAGGGCAGCAGGGTCCTGTGTGGCTTTAGACATGGAGGCAAAGAAATGCAAGCATTTTCCGTGACAAATTAGTCAGATAAGCCAGAGAATTAAAAAAGCAAAGCTGGTGGTATATTGAGAGCAATGAATTTTGTCTTTCTTTACTTAAAAGCACCAACTCAGCAACGTTATCCCGAGTTTACAAACACACGTGCACACACACAGAACATTCTGTCTTGGTTACTGTGAGAGAACGAACAAGACAAAAGGGCATGAAGAGAGGGCTGGGTTTTTTCTGTTTTGTTTTTTGTTTTTTGGGGTTTTTTGGTAGCGATGACTGAACAAGAATGCACACATTTGTATGTATTCTCTCCTGGTATAGCCTCTGCAATTGGAGTATGGTTTAGTCAGGAAAAAACGAAAAAAAAAAAAGAATGGTTTGTTTTTATCCCTTTCAGGCAGCTGCAGGAAGAAAACCCACTAAGCCGTACAAAATGATCAAGAATATTTGTTTCCCAGAATTTCAGACAGGATGAAGGACACTGAACAAAGTGGCCTTTATGCAGCATTTCCCCAACCCTTATTCCCCATTCCGGGGCTCCATTTGGATGCAGTGACTTTTTGGATATACTTGAATTTAGTCTAGCTACAGAGAGCCAAATTTATGGGCCTGACCCAAGCCC